TATTGAATGAGCGTAATAAACAGAAAGTCTCTATATTTCCACCGCCTCATCACTGTGCTCCATACAACAACCGCTCACACATATGCGTCACAAAATTAGAGAAAGAAATTCAATTGAAGGAATACTGACTGCCAGGAAGAAATTGATCAAGTGAAAATTAGCCCACGAGTGAACTCTCAAAAGATGAGGACTGGTCCATATGTGTAGATGTCACCCTACTGTCTAGCAGCACAAAAACATTACCTGGAGTGCCAGCAATCTTCTGATCGCTGACGGAGAGAGGCAAGAAGGATTCCGCCAAGTGTAGGGGCGATGAGAGCGCTGTGCCACTTGCTACAATATTGTCTGATGGCAAATGGATGACACCATTTCTATTCAGAATACGTTCTGCCAGTTTGTTAATGAAGACTTCTGGGACAGTGGGTTGGAAGAAAGAGAAAGCATCTCAAAATCTCCAAAAAAAAATAAGAACTTGAACTTAATTGGTATAGACTGTAAAGTGGAGTGAAGTGGGATAGAAGCAGCTCGTTTCTCAAGGCCATTTGAATTTGTGCCTGGGCTGTCGAGACTGAAATATTAATTGGTTATGGGTGAGTGGGAGCAAATGGCAGCTCTGAAGGCGGGTACCAGAGTAAACAGAAAAATCACACGCTTGGAAAGACACATCATGTAGCACTGCAGACGTGATCATGGAGCGGTCAGGTTCATCTGGACAATAATCCTTCCTGTGATTCAGAGTAGATAAAGTACAGCGAGGTGTTATTGTGAAGTAGACAGTACATTTCCTCTCTTCTGAATGGTTGGCTCACTTGAGCTCTTTCACTACTGCTGTTCTACATTAGGCTCCTGGCTTCATTTGAAAAGGACAAGGGAAGTGCAAGGGAACTACAGAAGGAAGTATAGAGAAAAACCAAACCAACCAAAACACTGCTTAAAAAACCAAGTGAACAACTCTTGATTGTGTACAATTTAAGCGCTTCACTCACTTTGCTGTAAAGACTGGTTTTGTGATATAAGCTACAATGGGATTTAAAAGTAAAAAATTCTATTTTTTTTTCTAATGCAGTTTTTTTTAATCACAAAATGCAGAAAATGGATGATTAATTACAGTGTAATAAAACTGGTAAAATGATCCATGTCTCAATTTGCTTATATGGAAGCTTGTTAAAATTAATACAAATTTAAAAAGGTCATTGCAATGGCAGGGTAATTCTGACTTTATTTCTCACAATTCTGAGTTCAGAATATAAAGTAGCAACTGCAAGAAATAAATTAGAATTGTGAAATAAAGTCCTAATAACCTTTTTTATTCTGTGGTGGAAACAAAATTGTGAGATAAAATCAGAACTCAGAGGGGAAAAGTCAGAATTACGAAATATCAACTCAGAATTGTGAGTTGATCAACTCGCATCTTGCAAAAAATCGTATATCTTGCCATTCTGACATTTATATCAGAAATTTTGAATTTATATCTCGCAATTTTAAGTTTATTTCAATTTTAAGTCTCACAATTCTTAATTTAATTGTGAGAATTGCAAGAAAAAGTCAATTGTGAGATAAAACATCACAAATAGGCCTACCTTTTTTATGTTTTTCATTCCATGGCGAACGGGCTTCCCTAGAAATCTGAAATAATAAAAAAAAATTTAATCCTGCTTATACCCTTTTTGAGATTTTTAATGGTGTTAGATTAGTTCTCGTTAGATTTACCAAGCCAACAGAATAAACTTAAGTTTTGTATAGAAACTTTGTATGGAAAGCATAACAAACAAACTACATTTCAGCAGTTAACCCTCAGTGTGTATCTGAACAATCTGAAGTATTTGAAATATATCCAAGTCCCACAAGATAATGCTGCAGGCAAGTTTTGGCATTATTAGACCTTCACAAACCAAGACTACTATAACAATTCACCTTCCTGCAATCCTTTTATGTGTGTTTTCTGCATGCAGATGCCAGCTCTCTTTTCTCAGAGGACATTTTCTCAGTTTTTACTCCGCCTGTCACTTCTGCCAAAGCACATCAAAGTCTTCTTTCCATTAATCTAAATGGTAGCCTCTCTGTCATGGTTCAGAAGTTAAAAGTAATGGTTTATGCGAGGCATTGAAAGTGATGAATTCATTACTTGAGACGCAGAGATAAAAAACTCAAGCAAACAACATAGATATTTGTGTTATATGCTCATTACGGTAATGAGGAATTTGAAATTGCGCAGGCTTTGTGTTTTAATTTGAAATGGCATGCAAGCACACACACAAACACCACAACAGAATGGAACAATATGGGTTACTCTGTAATTGCTTACGCTCATTCAGAAAGCATTACATCAAGTTTATAATACTTGTTTTCAATTTTGTTTTGAACAAAGAGGCATTTATGTGAATATGAAGTCTGTTTTAACAAGCGCAGTTAGAATTACAGCCCTTGTTTTATTGACGAGGCAGAGCAAAAGAAAAAAAAAACAATCAAGCAAGCTCAGCCCAGATGAGAAAAAATAAAGCAGAAGTAACGTAATGCATTACTTTCCATAAAAAGTATCGCAATTAGTTACTTTTTTAGGGAGTAACACAATATTGTAATGCATTACTTTAAAAAAGTAACTTTCCCCAACACTGCTTATACAGTGCTCTGAAAGTACACACAGAAACATTAAAATATCTCAAACCCAAAATTCTGATTCCAAATCCAACTAAAACAGGATTTTCACTATTCTGCAGCCTACTTTCTGAGACCGATGACCTGTGTGCAAAGCCCATGGCTGCCCCATAAGCACTTTATTGATCCGCTCCAGTTAACATTAGCATAGAAGCGCTAACGTACAATTAACACTCCCACTCAAGGGTCATGAGCGACTGCCATCTTTGAGGCTAAATGCAGGTTCTAATAAAGTCAGCAGGCTATGAGATCAAGACATCCAGCCCACACGCACACACAAACCTGCTCCATTTCTGTTTGCTACATCACTTCTCCCCGTCCATAAACACATTTCTTTCTCTTTCCTTTGGCACAAATTTCCATTCAGATCTATTCACGAGTTTTGGATTCCGGTCTCAGGGTTGGCAGGATGAGAGGAAGGCCACGGCCTTTATCAATATTACATTTGTGCAGGAGATTGCGCTGCATTCAGCAAGAGAATAGATCTCAAAAGCCAATATAGCGAGCAACAGCTAACAGCCTCTCCAAGTGACTCACAATACAGTGCCTAGTCAAGCGCTTCACTGCAGTCTGCTGATGTTATATATGCTGGCTGTTAAAATATAAATGATATGCTAGACTGAGCTGATGTTGCTCTTCTGCTTTCGGGAGTCTGTGTGAATGCCACATTAGTCGAAATTTCTCCAGAGCTATTTGGCACAAATGTAATGTCACAATGTGGCTCTTCAAAAAGCAATCTGGATCCATGTTGTTCTAAAAAACATATACCACAGGCTGTTTATGTACTTGTCTGTGATGTTTGTGAAAACAGATGCTGTAATCATATTGTAAATCCACAGAGCTGACGTTCTTATCTCTGTGCTCTGAAACGTGTTTTCTAGTGGGAAAGCGGGGTAGTATAAACCAGATCAAACTGTTGAATGCTTGAATCTGATTGGCGAACGTTCTAAGGTGTGCGATTATTTTCAAGCAAACGCATGGTTAAAGTAGTTCCAGGCCAAATGATTTCAGTTATTTCAAAGGTCCTTACAGTTTACAACAGCAAAAGAACCAAAAACCCACAATGACAAGCAAATAAATAATAAAAGGATAGAGTGAAATTAATCCTACACGCAACAAAAACCTGACGAATTTATTGAAATACAACATCTGAACAATGTGGTAACCATAGTATAAGCGGAATAATTCTCGACAGGCGGTTGAATTATAAGAAAATAATGCACACCTGAGGTGGTGATGCTTATACCTTGGGTGTGCATTATTTTCTAATAATTCAACCGCCTGTCGAGAATTATTTCTTACCTCTTCAACTCTGGTAGTCAGAATTTCCTATTTCCCATTTGGTAAAATCTAGACTGCCAACTCAAAACCTCAAACGGCCATCCACAACATTTCCCCTGTGTTTAGATTTAGATTATCTTTGCCATCATCTACATTAACACTTATTTACTGGATTATGGGATTTTTCTCTTACTCAAACACATCTCTTTAATTCAGAAGGCCTTTATTAACCTCCCAGAGCCGTGTGGAGCACTTTCTATGATGGATGGTAGGGATGCACTGAAATTAAAATTCTTGGCTGAAGCTGAAACCAAACAAAATTAAACACTGGGCCAAAAGTCAAAGGCCGAATAGCAAACATGGTTTTTCACATTTTTTTTCCATGTATTTTGCCCATTTTTTTTCACCATTGTATAAAATGTAATCGCCAAAATGTGCTTTTCATTGTTCCGTCTTGCTTTTCAAAGAATAATCAATTAAAAAATAACAATTTAAAAATATTTAACACTGAACATTTGTTAACATTCTAGCAGACATTATACCAACAAAGCACAATTTAACTTAAAATTAATAAGTTGGTAAAATAAAAAAATGTTTTGGAAATTTTTGAGACCCCCTTTTTGAATCAGGCATGTGATTGGCTAGAGACAAAAAAGAAGGAAAACTGAACACTTTGAGCAGCAAATCAGCATATCAGAATGATTTCTGAAAGGTCCTGTGACACTGAAGATTGAAGTAATGATGCTGAAAATTCAGCTTTGATCACAGCAATCAATTACATTTTACTATATATTCACATACAAAACAGTTATTTAAAATTGTAATATTTCACAATATTACTGTTTTTGTGTTTTTTTTTTACTGTACAAATAAATGCAGCCTTGCTGAGCAGAAGACACTTCTTTCAAAACATTAGAAAATATTAGATACCAATTTGAACATGTGAATATTAAATTAAATGTATGTTGTAATTATTAGTATCGTTATTATTGTCTTATTTTTTATTTTATTTTACAAGAACAACAGTAAAACTACAATACTAACATTTATGAATGTTGATGGAGTTCTGGCTTTTTCTCAGCTGTTTTTTTTTTGGCGGAAACCTGCAGGGAGACCTCAGTGCTTCTTTTTGTTGACAAAAGCAGATTTATAAATGATTCTCATTACGAATTTGGGAAGATGCACTCATCAAAGACATGCAATGCACTAAACAGTCTAGCACAGTTGGTGCTTGTAATGATTTTTGCGTCTTTTAAATCCTTCCACACTGCCGACATGTTTGCTGCATTATAAAGAGTGCACGCCTCTCACTTTATGCTGGTTGCCGTTTGATCGCGTCACCAAAAATGTCATTGTTCGGTACAATTTATTCGGCCTTTTCATATAGCTTTTTTTTTTATTTTCTATTTTTGGCCAAATAATTTCAGTTGCCGAACATTCGGTGCATCCCTAATGGATGGACGCACTTTGTTGGGCTCGACCCAATTCACTGCCATTATAAAGCTTGGAAGAGCCAAGACATTTTTTAATATAACTCTGATTGTATTCTTCTGAAAGAATAAAATCATATACACCTAGGAAGGCTTCAGGGTGAGTAAATTGGGTAATTTTCATTTTTGGTTGAACTATCCCTTTAAGATATAGCTCTATCTAATCAACAATCGATGGATAGAACCAAGCCTCCCCACCATTTTTTTTTTCTTTTTGATAATCAGTTCCACTCAGATGTAGGGCCTATGTCAAAATACTGAAGAAAAAATCTGTCACAACTTCTCTCACATCACAAGTTTAATATCAGTGCCTCCCTTAAAATAAAACTGTATAGTAAACATTTGCAGACAGGTGTGATATTTATACTTCAGAACAGATGTTAGTAATGCATAACATTGTTTATCCTTCATAATTTGGGTGCTACGCGATTTATTCCTAGACAGTCACACTCCTGCAATGGTAAAAGTAGTGATTCAATTGTGTTTCCTTGCACGTAACCTTCCAAGAACCAAACGCCTTTATCATGGGAAGTTGGAGATATCGAGTAGGAATATCCACATCTGACTTTGAATGGAACGCAGCAATAGCATTTCACAGGAATTCTACCTGCCTGAGGTAAACCCATTTTCTCTAGAGTTCTTCTGAAACTGCCTTTCAAAAGAAGCACTCTATTTTAAAATGTGCCACAGAAACACAAACCATCTGCAATTATGCAGATCAAAGTCAACTGGTAAATATCATGTCCCTCTCAAAGAGCTGTGGTATAGATCGGTACGCTACTCTCACACATTGAATATTTTGTTCGCAGGACTCATTCATCATCAAACTCTTTGAAGATCAGCAGGTGAGGAGGCTGCCAGGCTGTTTAAAATGCAGCACTTGCCTCCGGTTTGTCTGCGCGCCTGACATCCTGTTTGCTTTTAACTCTGGCGTCAGCCTGGGGACAAAGCGTACACCTTCACATTTAAGAGAAATAATCCAGTAAGATCAGCTTTACGAACTCTCGAAAACAGGAGGATACCAGTTTTCACACAGCCTGTTCGTCTATGTTTAACTTTTTAATAGCCATTCTTTGTAAGACCTGGAGCCATTCCATTATATTACAAAAACAAAACTTCTATCCAATCTGCGCGCCTGACATCCTGTTTGCTTTTAACTCTGGCGTCAGCCTGGGGACAAAGCGTACACCTTCACATTTAAGAGAAATAATCCAGTAAGATCAGCTTTACGAACTCTCGAAAACAGGAGGATACCAGTTTTCACACAGCCTGTTCATCTATGTTTAACTTTTTAATAGCCATTCTTTGTAAGACCTGGAGCCATTCCATTATTTTACAAAAACAAAACTTCTATCCAAAGAGATAAGCTTTGGTACACTGTCTAAACCTCAGATCACAGCATGAACTGGATATGCAGTCAACTAAATCTGTTTAATTGTCTTCATTTTTTGTAAATGGTGTTAGTATATTTGACATTGTTTCATTCTGCTAATTTCAACCACAAAACCCCGCACTCCAAAAACATGTCAGCCAATCCGATGTCAGCAAACACTAACAGGCACACTGACTGACAAGAAAACAAAACATGGCCTTGGGCTGTCACAGAGTGTTATTTCTCATGACAACCATTTCAGTCATATCTGTCAGGTAGTAGAGATGATTTATGTGTGGCATTCCAAAAAAGAATCACTTACAGCACTTAATTATCATCAAAGATGAACATGTATGAAATATCACCAATCAGCAAAACACGTTAAAAAAAAAAAAAAGTTAATCAACGCACCAGTGGCAAAAACATGTAAGATTAAAGTGTGAAAGATTTTTTATGTTAATTATTGTAGATTGGCAAGTTCAGTATTTGCAATTACTGTGTTTCAATGCAGACAAGAAAAATAGAATCTGCATGTTATTTTAAATTGCATTTAAATTTAAACCGCATTTATATATTTGGCAGACACTTAAATGTAATTATTAATATATAAAAACATGTTAATATATACGTACACATTACACTATGAGTCTCAACCACCCTACTTGCTGAATCCAGTATTTATACACACACACAAAAAACATGATGAGATTAAATGTAATTAAATATTTCAATCAACTAACAGCCATGATTACATTAAATACGATTTTATATCCTTCTCTGATCCCAAACAATTGCCAGACACTTTAAACTGAAGGACAGCACTCACCTCCATCCCCAAACAACATTACAAGGTTGAATTATGTTCCTGACAAGGAGAAACGCTCAGAAATCTTTAAACAAAGCAAAAAGGAGAAAACGGTACTGCTGGCAAGTGATGTCCAAATTATGACATACTTTTGGATTGAGGGTTGAGGGTCAAATTCTCCGAGGACTCCAATCTGCCAGGTCTCAGTTGAGGCGGAACCAGTGTCCCTGCTGTAGAATTACCCTCCAGACCTGGGCTGTCAGCCACAGTACATTCAATTAATTCTAAACCATATGGAACCTCATTACAGCGCTGAGGTTTGGGAAGAACCTGAAGCCCTTCAGTGTACTCTACCATAACTGTCACTTTCCTTTCTGAGGGATGTCAAATGAGCAAAAGTCTCATATATGGCTGTCAACTCAATGGTGCAAGTGACATTTGTAAGGTCGAACAATGCTCATAATGTTTATCTAACGTTCCAGGTTACACTGGTTTACATTGGTTTTAGTTCTTGTGAAAGACTTTTCATGAGAATGTCATGATTATTTTATGGGTTTTTTTTTCTTTCATTACATCATCTGATAGCTGTATAACATACTAGCCACTGCTATACATACACATATATTTAATGTATCAGCAATTTGTTCACAGATGTAATTATTTGCGTGAGTAGAAAGTCAATGCAAAGACACGAATAGAAGCAAATTCGCACCGGGCGACAGGAATGACTCAAATTTTGCAACACGTTTGCCGCAAACATATGATATTCGCCTCAATCACATCTTCCGTGCAAGTTGAAAAATTTCAACGCAAGCAGAAAGACCTTATTGACACGTCCGGTTATGTCAGAAAATGTTTTTTTATTGTTTTTATTTGCACAAGTGATGCGGAAACAATTTGTGAATAAACTAGAGCAAGTAACACACTGCAAATATTCGCTTCGCGTTTGGAGTGCACACACCATAATGGTATGTGCACACCAAAAGCTAATTGAATTATTTCCGCGAGAAGATTAGATACAAAGTCAATGCAAAGATGAGAGTAAATGTGGATTCATGCCGGGCGATGCAAATGACGAGAATTGGGCGATGCAATTGCCGCCATATTCTCCTCAATCGCATCTTCCACACAAATTGAAAAATGTCAACTTGAGTGGGAAATCCGCATAACGTGTTGTCGTGCAAGACAATTAGCGAAAAGCTTATTGACACATTTGGTTTGACACATCCACTTGTATCAGAAAATTTAGGAGAGCATTATTATTAGGGATGCATCGATCCGATACTCAGTATGGGTTTCTGCTCCAATACTGGCATTTTCTGCCGGATCGGGTATCGGTCAGACGAGACTGATCCAAATCCGGTATTCTGCGTATACTACTGTGTTACAAAAGGCACAAAAACATTATAAAGCACGAACGAAAGGCACAAAAACATTATAAAGCACCATAAAGTTTTCGTGCACTATATTTTAAGTGTTCTGAAGCCGTTCCATAGTTTAATGTGAAGTATAGATGAATATTTAACTGCGTGTCGCATTCGGTTACTACAGTGAAAGCGATGAAACTCTCTTCAAGAGCGAACAATAACTGAGATTTAAAACTGTTAAAAGAAAGGCTCAATAAAATATCGCACAGATATAATACACTACGCAATATCGCTTCCCTTTCTTATGCGGAGCTCTGCGCGCTGTGACTCCGTGTTGCTTCAAGTGCATCATTCTGCGCACGGGATGCGCATAAGCGCTTTGTGCCGCTCTGTATTGGAGCCATAACCTTTCATAATATACTTTTGTGCAATGAAAGATTATTAATAGTCGTTTTGTTTTGTTCTGTTCTATCTATCATATGTTGCTGCCTTCATTACTGTGCTATGCATTTAAAAGAAATGTCTTTTAATTGTATAGTATATTTTATATATATATTTATATATATATATTTAGGCTACTTGTTTTTCATGAATGTATTTTACAATACAAAGATCAATATGTAAATTTTACCAGATTTAGTCCTACACTTATTAACTTTTATTTGTTCCCCACTAAATAATGTTGTTTCACTAAATGTTTAGTTAAATGTTTTTATAAAATTATTATGCACCCATGATTTTTCTAGAATAACTTTTGCTGCTGAATTATCCACTAACCTAGTTTATAATAGTATTTTTTGTCATAGATTATGTTTTTTTCAATTGTTATTTTTCATTAAAATGAAGTTCAGGTCAGGTCAACACACAGGAGTATAGAAATTCTACATTGATTTTTTTTTTTTAAACTGCGCTGGTATCAGATCGGATCGGAATCGGCCGATACTCAGAATTTTTGTTATCGGATCGGTTCTGAAAAAATGGTATCATTGCATCCATAATTATTTTATGTTTTATGTTTTAATTAGCACAAATAATGCAAAA